GCTAACCACTCACCACTAAAAAGCAGTAATTACATAAACAAGAAATGTAATCAATCAACATCCTTCACAAAAAAGAAAAACAAAACAAAACACACTATACTCAATGAAATTCAGATAAATGGTAAATAGTTAAGCAGTTCAAAATGAAGCTAAAGTAAAATGGACTGGAAAATTCTTTTTTTTTCCTTTTTCTTTTTTAAAAGATTTTATTTTTTATTTATACAATAGCTGGTGTACAGGCCAGAGGTGCAGAAAGGTGAGAAGATTCACCAGAGACAGATTGGGGAGCAGGTCAGGCAGACAGACCGGAAGCACTGCCTAGAGGAGCAGCATGTGTGACAGGAGAGGTCTGCCGCACTATGTGGGAATCTCCCTGGCTGGCCGGGAATCAGAACTCATCCTGCAGAGGCTGCAGACAGCTCACAGTACTGTACTCAACCTGCAGTGCCACCGGAGAGGCCCTGGACTGGAAAATTCTAAGCACATTAGATCAACTATAAATTTGTGTATGTGCTTCAATGACAATTCATACCAAAAAAGAATTATATTCACAAAGTATAGATAATTTGAAAATTTAGGCAAAATACAGAAGCTAATGAAAAAAAATTGTCTTAAAATCTCTTCATTGATTAACATAACCAAGATTCTAGGATAGATGAATAATGTAAATGTGGTTAAAAATGACTGCTAAGTAGATAGATGACAGATGATTGATTGATTGATTGATAGATAGATAGATAGATAGATAGATAGATAGATAGATAACAAAAAAGTTCAAAGAAAGGAGAACGACAATAGTGTATTAAGAATCCAACATACTTTGCTTCATTTAATAGTTTCAAGTACACAATCTCAGCCAATTTAAAATATCAGAGAATTTCAACTTTATGTTTTTCTCAAGAACAAAATAAAGACAAAGATCACAAATAAGAGCAGAACACATTTAGCTTTGCAAAGACATCTAAGAGTGTAATGATGGATTTAGCAACCAATGGATTTAAAGAATAAACTCACCAGGGATATAGCAAGTTGGCTAATACACTCAAGAGCAGGATAAATATAAGAGAAGGGTAATTCTAATCCAAATAATCCTTTGTACTTAACAGTCTCATGAGAAAAAGAATCATGTAATTTTAAGGGTACAATGAAAAGAGCAGCACTTGATTATAATTGCCTCTGTAAATACATGTTATGAAGTCAAGCAGACAGTACCTTGGAAGTGTTAAAATGGTACTTCACTGAGTAGGAGAAAAACAACTGAAAAATAAATAACTTAAAGCCTAATGTCTACTTTCACTTTCTTAAATGATTTTAAAAATGAGTTTACATGGTTTTGATTAGTCTCTTTTGAGCAAATATTTATTCAGTTGCACTGTCTTCAAAGTCATTCATATGTATTATTTTCAACAGGAATTTACTATAATGTAACTTAAGTTAATGCAATCTTTCCATTTTCTCCACGTGGTACGCCATTGGAGACTTCAGCAAAAGTCACTAGAGGTATGTATATTTCAAAGAATGAGGATTATAGGATGAACATAGCACCAACCCATACTTGATTTTACTATGGACACTGAGCTATGCCTGGTCTGACCTTCACTTAGGAGCCCATGTCCTAAGAGAAAGTGGTTTTGTTCTTTTAAATCCACCAGATAATGACCTAAAATTTTGCTCAGTTGCATAAATCTACAGGCATTTGGCTGACTTATACCTACTTCACACTCACTATATTAAATGTTAAAATATTTTAAATACACATTTATTGTCCATAAAATCTGTTTCTAGAAACATAATATGACATTGAAATTAGAAATTATTATTTTCTCTGACAAACATCTCTCTAGATATTTCTGTTAATACCCTTCTATTTAGCTCACTGAGCAGTCTGTTGTATAGAATACAATGTGACATAACAAACTACAAAGTAATTCCGTGTTTCATAGCAGAAATAAAAGAGTCACAGGCAGGAAGTAAAACTGAAGATAAGCAAATACACATAAAATCTGCTACACTGACTTGCAATGAGTCCTACCTGGTTCGTACTTGCAGATGTAATTGTGCTTCATGTTGCACCTGTCGTCATTCCACTGATAAAGGTAAGGCCCTCCAAGGCCAGGATTGGCTGTTGGTTGATGATACATCACCACACACTTTTCACTTCCACAGGAAGGTTCATCCGTATACCAGTTTCTGCCAATAGAGAGAAAAGGGATCGCTTCTAAGTGGTTTTGCCTATTCGACTCTGACATCTTCTGCAGGTAAAGACCTCTGCTTTTACCATCAGCACCCCCAGAAAACATTTAGCTCCTCAGGATCCATACTCACCGGTACTGGGAACTGCTTCCATCAGACCACTGATAGAGATCCGGGCAGGCACCGGAAGTTTGCCCCTCTCCATTTCTCCAAAGCCCTATCCAGAAATCACCATCGGAAATCCCTGTTCCTGGTTTTGTCAAGTTTTGCAACATGTTTTCTATCAACTTCTGTTCTGCTTCATTCTCAAGGCTGAGAAGAGCACCCGCTTCACTCTCGCAAGCCAGGCGTGCCTCCTGAAAGCTCACTCTGCTGGACAGTTCCTGGAAGTAGGCCATTTTGTAGCAGGGATGCTTGAGGTCAGCAAAACACACCTTTTGGCCTGAAAGAAAGATGCCCATATATTCATTATGTGAATGGTATTCATAGTGTTACTAAGAATTAATATTAAACAACCACTCAAGACAAGGAACACTCGATCAAGTATGTTTATCCAGCTGAATCATTGTGGTAAACCTGGTCCCTAGATTAACACCTTCAATTTAAAAACTGTTCCCTAACAGACATATAATCTATTTATTTAGTTAGTTATGTATGTGATCCAAAAGCAAACTTTTAAACACAGTATTTCAAGGAAATCTTTCTTAAGGGCAGTCATAATTCTGACAGATTTTATAAACTGAATAGCATACAGCAGGTAAAAAGTAGTTAAAGAAATTTCAGTTATACATAGTAAATAAAGCTAAAACTTCAAACTTATCAAGAAGGAACAAGTCATAAAGAAATGTCATTTTTAAATTCAACTAGAGAAAACAATTTGCAAAGCTATTGTGAAGATGACATAAAGTGGCAAATTTAAGGTATATTTATTTCAATTGTACATATACCTGAAAGCATATATATTAAAATGAAAGTTAATAGAGGTCAGAATGAACGTAATTCTAGTGACAAATGATTTAATATAGCATCATATTATTTTAAGTATCAGGATACATTTCTAGAATATGCTTTTTGAAAAATTCTCACTGAATACTTTCTGGTTTTTCAGGACATGTGTGAAATTCCAATCCTTAAGCCAGTATCTTTTCTTTTTTTATAGAATTCTCAAATGAGTCATAAACTCTCAGCAAATATTTGCAAACATGCATGATCATATTAGGTCATAATAAAATCATCTATTGAAAGGGATAGTACAGTGTATAGGATTTAGCTAACTCCACCCGCAATGGAATTCCTATTATTCTACTGTATACACTATGCATTTTACCATCAACCATGTATGCCCAGAGATTAAACAGACCCTCTCCAAAATGGTCATGCTGTTTTATTTTGCCTTAGTGTCTTCGATTCACCTCTGATCTCTGCTGTCAACTTTAAAAATGCCACAGAATCCTGTCTGTCACTATTCCTTACTTGTTATCTGTAGCTTTCACTACTCTTTGATTTCTTTGATATCAGGTTAGGTTTGGCCTTGGAAAACAGACTTTAAATTATGTAAAATGAAGTCAAATTACTTTAAGCAACCTAGAGTTAGCAACTCTAAGAAATCAAGGCATAGTTTTACTGTTTTCTTACAATTCGTAAGCATTATTCTTGTTGGAATTGAAAAGTTATTGTGATATGCATTTAAATTTATAGCCAATTGAGAAAAACTTTCAGTAATGGGGGGTGGGTGACTAAAGGTGTTATTGTACTTAAACACTGGCTAAAAAATAAAACATTCAGGCGTTGTACTTTTAATGACAGCACTTCACAGTGATCTAGAATCGGTATCACATCCAATTTCTCCCAGAGTCAGCGATTAATGACCTACAATGACACTCAGAGGCAGGAGAGGGCAGAAATCAGTGGAAGGCCATTAACCTCACAACAGTGTTTGAGTGATAGGCATTCAATATCTTGACACAAGCTGAGAACAGTCAGCAAATAAAACAGCGGTTCCAGCATTGCAAGTAAGGCAATCAGTTGTCCTCTTTATCTTATTAACTGTTTTGGATGCAGGAGCAGCACACCAAGTATATGAGCAAATTAACAGCGCTCGAACTAATTGTTAAGGAAAACAGGACATGATTATGAATGACCATTGAAAACTAAGGTTAAAAAGACTTCAGGAGCACAAATCAGTCTGAAATAAATAATCCCAGAGAGTTGATCATGAAAATCCCAGTGGTGGATTCTAATACAATTAGTATATTACTTAATTTTTTTCTAATTATTAGGTTTTGTGATGATTTCACTGTCTAAAATGGTTATTCCTGGTAATATTCTGACAATGCTATTGGACCTAGTGATGTTTATGTTTCTTTTTTTTTTTAAAGATTTATTTATTTTATTTATTATGGGGTGTAGGCTAGAGGTGCTGGGGTGAGAGAATGCACCAGAGACAGAGTGGGGAACAGGAGGATTGCTGAAATACACTGATGACAGGAGCAGCAGGTGAGACAGGAGAGGTCTGCTGTGCCATGTGGGTTAGCTCCCTGGCTGACTAGGGATCAAACTCCTGCTGCAGTGGCTGGCTATAGCTTGATAGAGCTGAGACTTTAACCCCTGCACCACCAGGGAGGCCCTATGCTTGTATTTTAAACAGAAACACTGTTCCCATTTTATCTTCTTCTACATCCTTTACATATTTCTAAGTCTCCAAATATATCTTTACTGCATTCCCTTGGGTTTTCAACTTGTTCAGTTTTTCACTACAAGATGGCTAAGACTTGGATTTGATTTTTGCACTTTTGAAATGTTAAACTTGTCCAAGTGTTTTTGCAAGATGTCAAAATGAAATCAAATTAAGAAAAAAAGGAAGCAGATTAACCATAAGTTTAAATGAGTAAAAATTATTTATAGAACAAAGTCACTACACATTCAGAGGATTCCTAGATATGACATATTCTAAAAGTTTCTGCTCATTGATTATCTCTGATATATTAAAAAATAAATGCAAACACATTTATTTATGGTGAGGATTCAAAAATAAAGATGAAAATTAAGTCATTTATAAAATTAAGATAGCACTTCAAAATTAAGTGATGAAGACAGCCCTAAGTGATCTAAAATTCCTAACATGGCTCTGTTAGTCCATAGAGAAATAACAATAAAGGAAAAAACTATAAATGGTGGTTACATTTAAAATAATTAATAAATAATACTACATGGGCCCTGGAGGTTAGCCAGCCTTGGAATTCCTTGCCAATTATTCTCTCTTTGGTTATGGGTAATGGAAAAGTCCAGGGGTGCTGGGAGAGGGGTGGAGATTGTGAGGGCTGCATAGAAGGGGAACTCAGAGAATCAGCTAGCCAATTACCAACTACAGATAGATGTTACCTCCAAAGTGTATTGATTGAATATCAGCTGTGTCTACAGATTTTGAACTGAAAAGTCACTAGCAGTTCAGATCTAGCAAGGCAATTTTCAGGAAATTACAGATAGGTTGTACAGTTTTATGGTTTATATATTATCAGTTAAAGCTGACACTGTGAATTTCTTCACATGCAAATGTATTTTACAGCTAATTTCCATTTTATTGAGGAATTTTGTCCAACTTGCAGCAAAATCAGCAGCACAGGAAGCTACTGAACTACTCACCAACTACTTCAGCTGATCAAGTTTGGCTGAAATAGAGTAAAACTCCAACAGCTGGAAACAAATGTTGCTCTAATTCCCAGAAAAGTTGCATTATTACGGATCTTCTGAAAGTTACTTTCCCACCTCTGTAGAGACTAATCTTCCAAGAAAACCATTATGATTACCTCCCTCCTCATTCTGTGAGGTCACATGCAGAATTTTTTTTCCTCTTACTTTTAAATGCTATATTCAGATAAAATTTTACATAGAAGGCCTCCCTATAGTAGTGCTGGGGTTAAAGTCTCAGCACTATCAAGGTATCCACAGCCACTGTAACATGAGTTATATCCCAGCCAGGGAGCTACCCACATGGCGCAGCAGACCTCTCCCATCTCGCCCACTGCTCCCCTCAGCAGTGTATTTCAGTAGATCTACCTGTTTTGCTCCCCACTCTATCTCTGGTGAATCGTTTCACCCCTACCCCCATACCTCTGGGTTACACCCCAGATCTTGTATGAGTAAATAAAAATAAATCTTAAAAAAAATCTTTCATAGAATATTTTATCAGCTAGGTAAATATTCTGATAACCACATAACAAACTTTATCACACTAAGGTGATTTTCATACTGCCTAACAATAACTTATTAAATGTTACCTAGCATTTATAGTGAGAAACAGCCTTTGACTGCTGGCTTATTTACAAGAAATGGAACACACCATCCACTTGGAGGGGAAGAGGTCCTACAAACAGGTGAAAGTTTGAAAAGCATATTAGTAAAAATGGCAGATACTAAAGATAGTATCTTTGTGTCTATTCTTGTTGATACATTTTGGATGTGCACTGGAAGATAACTATTAATTCTAAGAAGTGTTTAAATATTTATATTATTCCCTCCCTCTCTCTCTCTCTCTCTCTCTCTCTCTCTCTCTCTCTCTCTCTCTCTCTCATGCACAACACACACACACACACACACACACACATGCACACACAGAGAGAGAACTGCATCATATGCATGCACTTTTATTCTGAGATAATTCTCAGTATAGAAATGACCCTTACTTAACTGTCCCAGATTTTGTTACTATTTTCCTTCTTTACATAAAAAATCATTTAGAGCTAAATATTGGCAGAATTTTAAGTGATTTTGGAAGTAATATAAAAGTGGGGCTAAACTCTTGTCATGGCAGTTTAATTTTTTCTTCCTGAACATAAAGAACCTATAATCTGGTTTTATTTTGATCATATTTTATTAACTTTCTGATCGTTGAGTCCTCAGAAATAAAAGTAATCATATTATACATATTTCACGCTATATATATATAATATTCAGTGAATATTGAATTATATATTTTTCTTAAAAACATGTAAAATATTTTATGAATTCCTACTGTTCAATTGTGATCTACCTTTAGTTGGAGAAGAAAAAAATACAAAAAGGAGGATCTATATATTAAATCTTCCAATCAGATTAACAGGATTGGGACATTTTACTAGAACCCCAAAAATAATTTGTACTTTTTAACACTTTCTTACTCTTCCAAAATCACACAGTTAAATATGCTGATGCTATATATTACTGTTTGACATGACCTCAGAGAGCAATGGCAACATCTTTGAACTAAAATGAAAGAAAATGCTATTCACTATGTGCCCTGCCTTTGGTGTTCAAATATAACATTTCCTTAAGAATTTCTTTTTAAAAAGTTTTCTTACAATAAATTTTGCAACAGGATATTTTAATACAATTAATTACATAATGCACTATAAGATTGCACTGGAACCCTTTCTCCTACATTAACAACATTTTATGGATGGTGGGACAGTTGCAAACCCTGCCTCTCCTGCTGGAAATTCCTTAAGTTTTCTGAG